TTCTTTCTTTCTTTCTTTCTTTCTTTCTTTCTTTCTTTCTTTCTTTCTTTCTTTTTGAAGTACCATTTTGATCAGTCTGAGATGTTCCTTGAATTGCCACATGGGGGCAGAACAATATATATTGGGAATACAATTCTCAATTATATGCATTTTTATATGATTTATAAAGAAACAAGGGAAACATTTTATACAGCAGATTATAAATTAATAACATGGAAAGATGAGAGCAGCAAAGTGCAATGAAGCACTGTACAGATGTTATCATGAAAGAGGAATGGAATATCAAGTCAGGATTCTTCCGATCTGGAGTACAGGTATCCCCAATTATCTTCAACCTGCTATAGCAACACTTTTGCTTTAGTTTCTACCATGGCAATGAAGTAAGCTCCTATTTGCTCTTTCCGTCACCCCATTTTATTTCAATTTTCAATTATCAGCTCAGTATTATATGCCATGACTCCTGAGGATTTTACCCAGGATTCTTTCCCAGCTTCACTTGGAGATGCTAGGAATTCAACTGGGATCTTCTGCTTTTCCTCTGAACTATGGCCTTTCCACAACCTGGCAAAAGAAGATAATTTATTGGAGAGTAATAAGATGAAGTTAAATCCTACAAAAAAGATTTGTTCTTCAGATGTAAGTCTAATGCAGTGTTTCTCAATCTTAGCAACCTTAAGATGTGTGGACTTCAACTCCCAGAATTCCCCAGCCAGCATGCTGACTGGGGAATTCTGGAAGTTGAAGTCCATACATCTTAAAGTTGCCAAGGTTAAGAAATACTGGTCCAATTCATCTTCTCCTGGGATAAAGATGCTTTTTCAGACCATTTATCTTTTTCATCCTCAGACAGACATATTCAGAGAATTCTTTGAAGGTGCGTGTCACAGTTTTAACCTAAAGACTTGGCTGTAAGTGCTGCTTGTACAGGATGCCACCTGGGATTTGTATCTTAAGTTATCATGAAGTTTTAAAATGGTCAGTGGACATGTGCAATTAATTCATACTGAATGGCGGGGTGGGTGGAGAACTGCTTGTTGGATCAGCCACGTAAGCATCCCATGTGATTCTATACCTGAATGTCCCTGGCCCTTTCGTAGGACTGGTAAGCCACCTTCTCCTCCATGCTGGCCAGCTCCTGCTTCAGATTGGTCATCTCATTCTGATGAAGCTCAGTCAGGTCATTGAGCTGCTCTTCCAAGCGTTCGTATCTGAATAATGGAAATAAGAGAAAACATGCAACCAGTGACTTGCTTCAAAGGAGAGGAAAGCTTTATGGGTTCCTAAATTATTTTAGACCCAGATTAACATCTCAGTTTCTCTTATCTGAAGGCAAGCTTTGCTTATTTCAGGGAGATTTGCCTTCTAATACCTATGGATAAGATTTTGCTGAAAAATTCCCAGTAACAACTCAGGAGATGATAGAAACAAGCCTGTGAACCAATCATGGAAAACCAATGCAACATACATGCTTTAATACACACACACACACACACACATACACACGTGTGTGTAGGAGTTATGCACATATATGCATGTGTGTACACACACACATGCACCCACACATACATATACTGTATAGTACTATATAAGTAAACCAACATATATAAATATAATGCAATAATATAATATATAAACAACTGGTAACTATAACAACATTTGCATTGATTGCTCCAGAATCAATAATGAAAGGCCCTCTGGAAAGGGCCAAGTCTTTAAAGCCATATGAGTGGGGTCCCTTTTTGTGGTAATATGTTCTATAGGAGGGGAGCCTATTCTTTGGGCCCTTTCCTATTATAACTCCTGGTTAGGTAGGGACCCCAAGCAGGCATTCTCAGATTGTCTGGACTGGGCAGGCAGTTTTGATCAGAAAAAGGTGATTTCTTAGATAAGAACCCCAAGCCATTAAGGGCCTTAAAGGTAATGGCAGCATCATGACTTACACTTGGAAACATAATGGGAGCCAATGCAGCTCCCACAGCAATGGGGTTACATGTCAATATCAAGATTAACTGGTAAGCATGCAGACCACTGCATTTTGGACCAACTGAACTTTCCTGGTGGTCTTCAAGGGCAGCTCCATATAGAGTGAATTACCATAATTTTACCCTTATCATTCAGTATAGGTATAGATAGAGCTATTGCACTGGGAAAGAAAATGAAAGAAAAGACCAGCAGCATGAAAAAATGGAAAACCTACAAACAACCCTCCCCCATGCTTCTAAGTAAAATAATTTCAGGAAGTACTGGGCTTTTTCTAGTAATATTTTATCTTTAAACTATTACATAGGTAATAAAATTAGGCCCAAACTACATAAAACAATCCTGCATTTATTGCTCTTAACCACCTTTTTATTTTTCTATCTAGAAACCTTGTTTCTGCAAAATAAGCTGCTTGGCTAAATCTAGGATCAACTAGTCAAGCAGAATGGAGGGAAATGCAGGACAGACAAAAGGAATGATTTCTTTCCAATATGCATAAATTACACAATTTGCTGTTGAGAGTTGTAATGACAGCTTCTAATTTAGAGACTAGATGAAGTAATGAAAAATAATGCTGTCCTTGCAGCCAGGCATGAGATCTAAATGTTGCTGCTTAATATCAGCTGCTGGACAGACAGAAGAGAAGGTCCTGCTTGTGGCTTCCCATAGGCAGCTGGTTTTCCACCATGTCAAACAAAATGTTGGGTGGTCTTGTCCAACAAATTTGTTGTAATGTTATGCTCTAGAGGTGCCTGAGGAGCCAACCCCCCCATCCCCTCTCCAAGTCCAATGAAACAGCCAAGTCTTAAAGCTAACAGGGTTGAAACCTTTCTGATATCAGGGGAACACTGGTCCAGAGAAGTATGGCAGCCATCAAAAAGGCTCGGCCCCAGGATCCTTGTAGGTAGCATTCCCTAAGGGATGGGACCCAGAGGGAGCCTTCTGTTCCAGTTCTCCACAGATGGGCAGAGACCACTGGGAGATGGTAATCTTGCAGATATCCAGATCCTGAGTCATACCGGACAGCTAATACCCTAAATTGTACCTAGAAACACACTTTTCTGGGCTTTTTTTGTTTCACCCCAGTTGGAGAGATCTCTTTGCCTTACAGATGAATACTCTAATGAAACCTCTATTTAGTCTAAATTCTTGTTTTATAGGTGCCATACGATTATTATTACTGTTGTTAAAAGTATTTATATACTATGTAGTGTGTCTCCAGACTGTGTACTACTAACCTTTACATATTTCTGATGCCTGGTGGAAAATTTCTGATGCCATATTGGTCAAACATGTCCCTTGTTTGACCACTATGATGCCAGCGATCACCGTGGTCAAACAAGGGATATAAAGCACATGAAAAATCAATTATCACTATTTGGCCTTTTAAAAACCAAATGGTTGAAGTTCTGTTTGACATTTTAGGTATCAGAACCAGTTCCTGGGACTGGACAATTCAGTCCTGGACTGTATTGAAATTATCAGTGTGATAGAATTCATTTTAAAGTAGATCCCAAAACTACTAAGTATAGAAAACATAGCCTTCAGATAGCAAGACAAATAATTGTATTTCTACTTCTTTGCAGTAGTGCTTTTTCTACTTTACTCTTTCTTGGCCCAGTTCTATGCTCCACCCATCTCCATCAAAGTAGCAAATCTCAACAACTACAGGGAGAATGCAGCAGTTTCTTTTCATCAAATGAAAACAAGATGCTTATATTAGATAGCTCAAGAGTAAATCAACATCACATGGAAAAGCGTACCTGTTCTCAGTATATCTGAATGGGCTAACTTGCTGGTAATTCTTTAGTATTAATATATAGTAGTTATAAACTTGGACTTTCTAATTCATATTTCCAAGTTCCTTTTCTCCAAAATACTGAAAGTGGGAAAGGGAGACAATTTGCTTGCTTGCTTGCTAACTAATTATATTCTTATGCTATCACCCTCCTCCCCCAAGGATTGCTATTATGGTATGATGGTGGTACACAATTAAAAACTACACATCTTAACATTTGATTCTATGCATGCTTATTTGGAAATAAAATTAAATCACAACCTTCATAAACTCTTAAATAAAGTGTCTCCTACACAAGGCAAGGTGAGGCATGTGGCTACAAGAGAAAGTGTTTTCTTAGTAATGACACCCAAACTGAAAGAGACTCCCAAAGCAACAGTCTAGTATACTGTAGTGCATAAGATTGGCTTAAGTTGGCCCAACACCTAGGTTCAAGTCCCTACTAATCCTTGCAGCTCATTGGGAGACGTTAGATCACTCTCTTACCCAACCTATTGCACAGGGTTTTATTCTAAGAATAAAATTAGGAGAGACCTCATGCATGCCCCCTACTTTCTCTCTCTCTCTTTCTCTGTCTCAAAGCTGTTTTATCCTCCTTTCAGTGCTAAGTAAAGACCTTTTTATTTTCTTAAGGTTTTAGATACAGTTTTAATTCTGATTATTGCTTTATGCTGCGTTTATGATTTTGAGGCTGTTTTAATATTTATATTTTGTTCTTGTCCAAACTACTCTGGGAATATAACTGAAAGGCAGTATAAATATATTTACAAAAATCAATATAGTTCTAACGTCTCCATAGAGCTTATTCCCTATTAAATGTTAAGTCTTTCCTAGCCTCTCAAACAGGACAGATGTAAGTGAGTGGAAAACAAATGAAGCGGGGGAGGAAGGAATGTCTCTTCTGAAGACTGCCTGCTTGTGGGAACAAAGAGTTTTATTTCCATCCCTGCTGTTACTGATAACTGATTTCCAGGATATTTTAGGAAAATTTCCAGTTTTTTTTAAAATAGCTTTTAAAGAAAGAAAAAAACCCAGAAAATAACAGATAACTGATAACAGCAACCAATAACATGAGAACAAAGACATGGCCACCTCAGCCTCATATAAACTTTGCACAGTTCCTGACTGCATGCAGAGAACATGTGTCCATTATTCTACATGTATATGAACATTATACAGTCTGTTGAATTCATATTGGCTGGGGACAGAGCTTCCTAAAGTAATCCTGCTACATGCGCTTGATTGCACAAAATGCATTATATTCACATTAATCTACTGGTTATAATTCATAAGTGGACCTGCTATGATCATACTGGAGGGTCAGAATGATTAAGAGTATAAAAGACTGGCACTTGACTTTTCCTCCCCAACTCCAATTGACCCATGAAAAACACAAGCTCTGCAACTACGTTCAACCATTTAAGCTCATTGGCTCCCTCCCACAACAGTCTGAATACATAATTCTTTCCTCACTGACAAAAGTCTTAGCGCTCAGAACAAAAGCCTTCTTGGTTCTGAATTTCCCCTCCACGGAAGATAAAATGCCAATATTGAGTACTGAGCCAGGAATGGATTTCCTTTCATGCATTATAAATAGACAATAATAATAATAATAATAATAATAATAATAGGGTGTATTTCCTCTTGAAGATAATTTGTATAGGAAATTCCAAAAGACTCTTCAAAGCCACCAACAGCCAGGCAGGATGGATTTATTTGAATCATCAGGGAAAAAAAGTCCTGTTGCCATCACTGATTTAAATCAGATTTTTCACTTGCAACTAATTTATTTCCTGAGCAAATAGGAAATAATTTCCCAAATGCTTGCTCTAGCAATTAAGATATAATGGTTTGCAATACATAGAATGTGTAGCTCAGGGTTGAACTGTGGAGTCATATAGAATGTAAAAAAGAAACTGTGGAGTTACACAGAATGTAAATTCATCTAAATCATGTAGTCCTACATATATGAGAGCGGCAACATTCTATCTGCCTGGAGTGAAGAAATCGATTTCTCTTTGGTATTCTGTGTACTGTATGGATATCTCAAGCAAAAATACTTTCTTTGAGGTTAATAGCACAAACATATGCATGCTGAGTTAGAAGTAAGCCTCACTTTGTAAGTTTGTCCAAATAATGCCCTTATATTATTTCTGGTCCTATTTCAGGGTTGGCCCTACTATTAGGCAGAATGAGTCAGCCACATAATAAACAATTATTTATGACTGCCCATTATTATTATATGGCTAGAGGCAGAAGTGAGTTTCTGGGATTTTCTGCCTCAAGTATATCTTGATTTAAATGAATCGGTTATTGCATTTTCAATTTTAGGGAACCAAACGTTTTCTTTGATCTGCTGTAGATGTTTGTGACTGAATTGTTTGTAAAACTTGTTTGTAAACTGCTCTGAATATAAATATTATAAATATGTGTGTTCTGTCAACCTACTTCCAAGCATAGGATTCTGATCAAAGCGCCCTTAATATTAGAAAAGTAAGGACTGGCAATTAACATAACTTTAAAAAATATGTTTCTCTATAACAGGTTTGTCCAACAGGCCAAAACTCTACCTCCCACCCCACGCCAAGTCTTGGGTACAGCACTTAAAAGGTCTCTGAAAGTTGCCACCAAATTATAATTTCAATGTAACAAGGGGGAAAACAAGAGGGAATATGTGGGGAATGGCGGCATTATTTGCATTTTAAAATACATTTTAAATTACGTAAATTTAGATTTTGTCCCTCTCCCCTGTAAGTTGTTTTGACTCCTCCACATTTTGGTCCCAATATACCACCCAAAGGCAAGTTCAACTCTTGGACAAAAAAAGTTCCCCATTTCTTTTCTGTAAGATGGAAGATAAAACCCTAAACTATTTATGGCTATAAATTATAATGGTGCATTCCTGGTGTAAGATTTACACTATCTTTTTTGACACGTAGATTGTTGCTTATTATCTTACATATGCACACATAATCTATTCTCTCTCTAAAGTGAGATCTACAGTCAAATTGTTCTACCACACTCAACAATCAACATCTTATTATTCCCCATTGCTGTGATTCTGCCACCAGGCAAGAGCAATTAAGGGCATTTTTCATCAGCGAAGGGCATTTGTTCCTTGGGGAGGAACAAGAAATCATTTAACAAATTTTACCTGTATCGTTCCTCCTGCAAACACTGAGTCATGTACGTATAGTCTCGTTGCAGCTGAGCTTTGAGTTCTTCCATGGAGTCCTCAAGATGGGACTGAATGTCCTTAATATCTCTCAGTTCTTCTACAATGGTGTCAAAGTTATAATGATGACTGTCCAAGGTGTTAGACTTGGGACTGCTCAAGCCCCCAGGACCAGCCCCAGAATTGCTACCAGCTGCTGAGCCAGAAGTGGCACTGGAACACTCATCATCACTTCCATATTTGGGACTAGACACAAGGGTAGCACTGCCACTCAAAGTCCGTGAAGCCTCTTCCGGGTGCCCATCATCCAGAGTGTCCTTTAAGTGGGCAATGTTGTCTGCGCTGCCAAATTTGTTGCGTATTAAGCTTGCAAACTCACGGGGCTTGGAAACCACAGCTGTGTGTGTTGCTTGAGAAAGGCCTGACAACCCACCCTTGACCCCCTCTACCACACCACCGCCAAAACCACTAATGCTGGAGCGAACATTGGCTCCTACATCCTTGAGGCCCTGATGCATGTCCCGGAAGACATCTTTGGGCTGACGTGAGGGCCCATTTTGTTCAATCTCCTTTAGTTTTTTGTGGTAATGCTCAAGCTTCTTATGCAGCTGGGCAATGGTCTGGGCTGACTTCTGGTTCTTCTTCTCAAAGACCTGCTTGATACGAGAGGCTTGTTGCTTATCAGCATTGTTAGCAAGCTTTAAGTATTCAGCTACGTTGTCATCTCGAGCCTCCTGCTCAATCTTTATTTGCTCAGTGATCTTAAGAATCTTCTGGTGCAGGTGGTCAATGGCAGCTTTTGTCCTCTGTGGGTCTGGATTGCCATCTGGAACGTCAAGACAGATGTTGCTTTCAGCATCACTGTGGCTTGTATTGGAAGGCAGGCTGAGTTGGCTCACATCCCCCTTGTCCAACTGTTGTAGGAGGCAGGAAGAGAGGAAAGAGCATAAAAAGACATGAGTAAAGCTTTGAGGAATATTTTTCTTTCTCTGGAACAAACATTAGGGTGATGGACAGATTAGTGGAAGAAACAGTGGGAAGCCACAGAAAATAATTACAATACTCTTCCCCAATGGTTCCCTCCAAATGCGTTAAGGCTACAACATCCAGAATTTCTTTGTTGTCTGGAAATGCTAAGACTTGTACTCCGGAACACATCTGGAGGGAACCAACTGGGGGAAAGATGAATTAGATAAAAAAGGAACAATATCTGTTAAACTGTATGTAATCAAATCACCTAACCTTAAAAATTGCTTTTTAATCACTTAATTGATAAATGTATATAAAAATAAAATTCTTCATATATTTTGAATTCTTAAAAGTGAGATAACTACAAGTCCTATCAGAAGAGCAATTTTAAATGCTATTTTTCATTAGTTTTTCTTTTCATCTTCTTGGAAGTATGGAACATAGAATACTTCCTATTATAGTAATACAACAGAGTCAATTAGCTGAGCAAATCCAAGCAAGTTACTTTGTGGAAGACTCAGGTTTAAAAGACATACTGTGATTTTAGCTTAAGAGTCACCAACTTCCATTATCTGCAGTTTTTACTGCAGAAAAAAGGCTGCAGCAGTTTTCCTGCAAAATATAAATGTGTCTATTGCCTCTGACTATAGGGATCTGGATTCATGGTCCTCTAAAAGTCAGATTGCTTGTACTGCTCACAAGTAAGATACATCAAAAAGCTGGAAATAAGGGCAAATCTTGTACCAAACTATGTACAGAGTCACAAGAAATAAAAATGCAAGACAACACCTCAGAAATCTTCATTAAGTATTAATTATACTTCTGTATCAACTAATTTTGATTAGACAAAATGCAATTTCACAGGCTATCCCCTAATACTAGAATGACAGAAAACTAATAGTTATGAGTAATAATTCATGTCTAGCATTGGCCTGTTGCTCATGCAAAGTTGTTCTGAATTTTAGAAACTCTATCCCTCAGTTTCCAGTAGAGGTGAGCACACTCAAACTGTTTGGAATTCAAAACACCACATTTTGAACACAGAACAGCTATTTCGAGGACAAAATAGATTGTTTCAAGTGTGAAACAGGATATTTTGACCATTTGGGAAGAATTTTGAATTGAAAGACATGTTTGAAACAGCTACTTAACCCAAAATACTTCTGTAATTATCAAAACAGCCCATTTCATACTTAAAACTATTTTTCAATTGAAACAAGGCATTTTACACCTGAAATAAGGTATGTGTGAATTTAAAATGCATACCCTTAGTTATCAGTATAAACTGTTTAGAGGACATAGTGCTTCCAATGGACATTAAGAACTCTATTTGCTACTCTGTTAAGTTATTAAGCAAACGGAAGGTATGTGAGTAATTTGGGGCTTGCAATTAGGAGATACCAAAAGCTAAATGCATTTGTCTAATTTATTTCCATCCTGTTTTCCTGGATGATTCTTTAATGCTTGAGTATCTTTGAGGTCTGTGTCTACATTGCAGTATGAAAAGACTCAATGGGCTTGGATCATAGACTGAGTTTCCACTTTCTGTGTTCATATTCATTGATGCAGTTTCTGAACTGGGTGATCCAAAAATTCTCAGTGACAATTTCAGTAATGGTTGCACTATTTCAGATTGCCATCCTCACTTGTATGAGAGTTGCAGCAACTATATTCATCCAGCCAACACAGAGCCACAGTCAGGTTCTGAAAATGAATATGTGAAAAGGGAAAGCAAGGCCCCATCTTTTGTCACTGCCTTTGTATATATGAGAGTTCTGGGTACAGAGAGACATCCAAATTTCTTGGATATATATACCCCAAACATAGTGAAGACCCTAAACATAACATTTCTCCACAAAATTTGGTGTACACATAAAGGCTCAATGGTTTTAAAAACCATGAAAGTAGAAGTTGTGGGGAGCACATAAAGGCCTGCATTAGCCACTCTTGGTGACAGAAAAGACTTCTAATTAATTATTAATAGAATTGGACTTTTGTGGACAGACTAACTTTAGATCCTCATCTTACAAAAATTTCTGCTCAGCCCTAGGTTCAAGGGCTCTGTAACTGATGAATACTAATTGCACATGCTTAGAAAACTGGCCCCATGAAAATTAAACTTCAATGGCTACTTCACTTAATTCCTATGTCACAAGTTATATGACAAGTTTCATACATCTGCCTGCACATGTGGCTGAGCTGTAAACTGTTGTAAATAATTGTCAGCATAAATAATGAAATGGCATTATCAGTTTACATTCTACAAACATGGTAACTGAGATGCTTGTTAAAATCAAATCAAAACAAGCCTCAACAGGCAAGGGGCTCAAGGACACTTGCTAAAGATTACTATGAAGGAGGCTGACCTTGTTTTTCTTAAACATGCAATTATAAGTCCATCTGTTTAAACAAGCATACAGGTGCTGCCAGATATCAAGGCACAAATTGTGGCAGGCTAAAGAAACAGCATCCAAGAGCAAAATATTATTCCTATCTCATTATGTCTAAAACAGAAGTGCCAAAACTCCCAAAGAATCATTTCCAAAAAAGATTCCTTTCAGTGGGAGACCTTCCAATTCTGAAAACCAGAACCAGTATCCATTAAGTATGTGCTGCTGTTTTTATATACTGAAACACTTTATCTTTTTAATAAGAACTTCATTATATTACAAAGTACAATTAAAATACAAAACAGAGAGTACAGCAAGGAGAGAAGATAGAGCTAAAAGAAAAAAGACAAAAACTAAAACAGTGAAGAGAGAAAATTGAAACAGAAAGTGACTTCTGACTATCTCCAATACCGATATAGATACAAATTAAAAAAATTGTAAAAATCTCTTACCACTAATTAATCCAAATTCACATTATTTCTATCAACAC